GTTTCCATCAGCTGGGCCCGAGGAATGCAGAGCTATTTAACCTGAGCATCCCCAGGTGTACGGAGGCGCCTGGCTGTCTGGGCCCGCCGACTTTGGCACAGCCGCGCTAGACAAACAGCGGCCGCCCCCGCCCTGCCCCTCCGCCCGCAGCTGCAGCCAGGCCTGGGAACGGGGCCGGCGCCGGCAGCTTGCATAAGAGATACCAAGGAGGGAGGGGGTCAGAGGCCACCAATGTGTGTGCATGTTCCAATTGTGTGTGTACCCCAGACCAAAGGCCAGAGGCTACCAACGTGTGTATGTGGTGTGTGTGTGTGTGTGTGTGTGTGTGTGTGTGTGTGTGTGTGTGTGTGTGTGTGCAAGTCAAACCCTCCTCCTTTGGAAATCATTAACATGTCAAACCCTCCCAGACGTGGTGCTAGGAGCAGGGCAAAGATTGAAGAGGAACCACAGGGCAAGTTCCAGGGTCCTCCTATTTAACAAACACATAGGACTTAGTATTTGCTAGGCCTTATCCTACACTGGGTCTTAGACAAAAGGCCAAGAAGTGATTAGAGACTTCATATACATAAATGACAGACGCTACATATACTAAACTTTTAAAAATGTCAACTTGCTGGGCCGTGGTGGTGCACGCCTTTAGTCCCAGCACTCGGAAGGCAGAGGCAGGTAGATCTCTGTGAGTTGGAGGCCAGCCTGGTCTACAGAGCAAGTTCCAGGACAGTCAATGATGTTACACAGAGAAACCTTGTCTCAAACAAACAAAAAAATCAACTTATTTAACCCCTTAGTCACCCAATGCAATCTCCTGCTCATTTTGGTTGGGAGACAAGCTTTAGTGTTTAGCCATCTCTCCAGCCCCTTAAACTCATTTTAATAGCAACAGTAGTAATGGTTGAGCCTTAAACACGCTAGACAAGTACCCTGACTAACCACATAGGTAGGCATAGGTCTTAAAACTGGGTGGAATCGGGGAGTTGGTGGCATACACCTTTAATCCCAGAACTCAGGAGGCAGAGGCAGGCAGATCTCTGTAAGTTCAAAGCCAGCCTGGTCTACAGAGCGAGCTCCAGGACAGGCTCCAAAGCAATACAGAGAAACCCTGTCTCAAAACAAAACAAAACAAAACAAAAACAAAAAACAAAACGAAACAGGTGGAAACCAACCAAATTCTATGGAAAGGTCTGGTTCTGTCTGGAGAGTGAGGGATCATCAAGCCCTGATAATATATATACACAGCCTTACCTCCATCCCCAGGGGCCAGTGGTACTGAGTTTTTGTTGTTTTGTTTTTGAGGCAGGGTTTCTCTGTATGGCCCTGACTGTCCTGGAACTTGCTATGTAGACCGGGCTGGCCTCAAACTCATAGAGTTCCACCGGTCTCTGCCTCTTGAGTGCAGAGATTAAAGGTATTTACCACCACTGCCTGGCCTTAGACTTGTTCTTAATGACATTTGTTTTTGTTTTTCTTTTCTTGATCACTATGTAGACCAGGCTGGCCTCCAGTTTAGAGTGATCCACCTGCCTCTGCACTCCGAGTGCTGGGATCAAAGGTGTGTGCCACCACTGTTAGATTCCACTGCAGCAGCAGCCTGCCTCTGCTGCCAAAACAGTTATGTCATCACCTGTCACTCCGGCATCACTTAAAAATGTCCACCAGGAGTTGAGCGGTGGTGGCGCCTTTAATCCCAGCACTTGGGAGGCAGAGGCAGGTGGATCTATGTGAGTTAAAGGCCAGCCTGGTCTACAAAGCCACACATAGAAACCCTGTCTCAAAAAAAGTCCACCAGGTACAGCTTGCTCTCTTGCCTCTCTTCTTCCTCTTATCTCTTCCCTGTTCTGTCTGTCTTTCTGTCTGCCTGCCTCTCTGATGTACCCACTCCTATAAGGCCTTTCACTTCTCCCCCTCCCCTAATAAATCTTTCCAGCTAACTCTGTAGCACGTGGCATGTTTGCTTAGTGGCATGCTTTGGCAGGGCCCGATGAAAACGTACCCACTTTGCCTTTCTTTTTTTATTTATCATTACAACCACTCTTGACTTGTTTTAAATTTGACACAAGGTTTTACTCTGTTACCCAGGCTGGCCTTGAATTCAAGGCAGTCCACCTCTCAACTGCTAGGATTACAAGTGTGAGCCAGCCACTGCCCCCAGCAATAGCATTGACTCTTATTGAACACCAGAACCACCAACCAGAGAGGGTTACCTAATGCCCAGGGTCACATAGCTGGGTTCTCAAGTGGTAGGCAGACCTCAGATCCTGCCTGGCTGCTATAGGGAAAGGAGGTGAGTCACAGGGCCAGGCAAGAGTTGGGTGAGGCTGGGGTGAGGACTAGGCACAACTTTCCTGGAAAAGGAAGGGAAGAGGAAACAGTGCTAGGAGGAACCACAGGTCGAGGGAACAGGCCTGGCTCCCTTATCTCTCTGACCCCACCCTGGCTGGCTCTGCTTCCTGCCCCTGACTCTTGCAAAACCTCCTTCCCAGAGCTTCCCCCAAGAGAGGTGCCCCAGGCCCATACAGAGTTGCATCAGGACCTTGTGTAAGGAGCAGTTAGAAGAAGAAGAGAGGATGGCTGGAGGCCAAAAGGGAAGCAGGAAAGCCAGCCCCTGTGCCATTTCTGATCGGATGTTTGCTTCTTCTGCCTAGCTCTCCAAGTTTTCTGTCCACTGCTCTGAAGTTCCAGCAAAGTCAAATCTATACACCCTGAGCCCCGGGCTGTTACTCCTCCTGGAAATTTATAGGAGTCCCAACTGTTAGTCATCCTGTAGTTAGAAAGCTCTTTCTTCCCTTGCACAGGAACAAACTACTAAGTTCCAGCAAGACTCGGTACCATCTAGGAGTTTCCATTCTTAGAGGAGACTGATGGTGAATAAATATATGAATATGGACACATTTACTCTGAGATGACCCAAGAAGCTTAAAGTTCAAGGCTCCTCATAAGCTTAGAGTTCACCAATTTCTTTGTACGATTTGTAAAATTTGTATGTTGTGTTCTTGTTAGAGAGCCACCACTCGTTGGTTGTGCCTTGTGCTTGAGGAGAGGCAAGACAGAGGAATCACGATTTCCTGTCTGTTTGTGTTCCATTCTTGGGTTTAAGACCCAGCAACTCTAAGCCAGGAGAGGGAAATTGCTGAGAGGTGAAACAGTGGA